GATTGGCAAAGAGTAGCAAGGGAAGACAAGTCCAGTTACCAAAGGGGAATTTGTGATCCTAGAGGGATCTGTGTAAACTTTGTGGTCTGTCAGACTATACATGCTCTCTGAAAACAGAGGTGCCAAAGCCCAGAGGTGCGAGCCTCTTTAAGCCATGAGATCAAAATAAATTCCCAAGCTTCTAACACTTTAAAAAATATTTAGTTTGGAACAGGATAATATCCTTGGGGATATTCTGCACTGTAATAAATAGCTATATAAGCTCTTGTGATTATGTACAGTGGCTGTGATCAACCACTGCGTGTGCTGGAAGCAACAGGTACCATCACCTCACCCAGCCTGGGAAATGTTCTTTTGGATTCAACTGTATTCATTTCCATTTCTTTTTGTATCAAATTCTTTTTGTTCAAGTGGAAAATGGTTTTGATTCTTCTATAATATGAGATAGCATTCAACTGAATGGCTGTAAGCTAGTTAAATGGATAAACTACTCTAATACAAAGAAATGTAGCACTGTTCTTGTCCACCAGAGGTCCCTTACAGGCCACTCTATACAGGTGGCTGTGCTTTCACTTGCCTAGTTAGCATCTGTTGTTTCCCCTACGGAGTACTTTCAGATCAGCTATTGAAATACAGGTCCTGAAGACCCTACTAATGACTTTGAATCTTTTCAAGAATCATTAACTTTAAGAAGCAGAAAAGAAAAATCCTGCTGAAACATAATAAAAATTGTGAAGAACTGTAGGGGCTTCCTTGATCCCATTGCCTCGGTAGGTAATCTCAGTATTTACATCATGCTTCACAAGTTTTGCTGTACATATTAGAGGATCTTGAGTGTGAGCCAACTCTATACCCTGTATTACTAAATCTATATGGGATTCTTATCTGGATTCTTATCAGTTCAATCTTCACAAAACCTTCTCAATATGCACTTAAATTGAAAAGTAAAATGTGCTTACAGCTTCTGATACTTCAACTGGATGACAATGTCAGCTCTTGCATGCTAGTGTAGGCTTCAGCTTCATAAATTTTTGCTGCAAAATGATGAAAACCCTTGAGAAATCTTTATTTGACAGATCAGTTGTCAAATGTGAATAACTCATCCAGCTTTGGCAAAAGCTGCCATTCTGCAACTTCTATTGCAGCAGGAGTGAAGAGCTGAAAATCTGCCATGGTGTTTTATGAGCCCTTAAGCATCAAGATCACCTCTTCATAGCCTGTGTTTGAAGTAGTCTCAACAGAAAAGAACGTCCTTGCTCTTATATTTCATTTACAGTAGACGAAGAAAAAGCAAAGGAACAGAGTGGGAATATTCCTGTTCCTCCAAGTTGAATGAAGGCCAGAAATTTCCCAATAGTGTACAGACCCTTATACCCCAATAATTAGCTAATGTGTTCTGAGCTTTGTATGTATGGCATTTATTTTTGTTTTGTTACTGTTTGGTGGCAACATTTAACAACTTCTTGCTCAGAGCAATATAGTGCTGAGCAGTTCAGCATCATACAGGTGTATCAGCATCAAAATATTTTTGTTTGATTCAGTTAAGTAAATATCAAGGTGTAAACTCAGGTTTAATCATGAAGCACTGTAATTTACCTTTGTACGCAGATGTACCGGAGCAGACAAAATCCTGCAATGTTCTGTCTCTCTAGCTCCCTAATTCCTTCAATATTTGGATAAAACCATAGCTATTCTCAAGGATAAAGATATAAATATACAAAGATTTACACTGTGCTCAGTTTTCCAGTTGCACTAAGCAATGCATTCTTTGCAGGAGTCAAACAGAAAGCTGGGTGCAAAGTGGCCTGGTGCTGGATAAAAACTTTTATGGAGTGATGGATGTCCCATATGCACATGCATTCCAAATGTGCAAGGTAAGATCCCTTAAAGCTCCATGAAGCTGAAGAGAGAAGTTTTTTGACTTTATAGTCAAACTTTTGTACTGTAATTACAGTAGAAGAGCTGACTAGGGATGGTAAGAACAGCATTTTGATGTTATTTATCTTCATTCAGAATCTCATGCTTTTAGAGCTCAAATGTCTTTTAGCTCAGATGACAGGAAACAGCAGATTTTCAGGAGAGGAGGAGAAGCTCAATACAGGTGTTCTTAATAGTCAGTATCCCAAGTGAGGGATCCTGCATGAATTGTCAGCTTTGAATGTCAAACAGAACTTCCTCTGAATTCAACAGGTTGTTTGGGTTTTTTGGTCTGGTCTGCTTCAGAACTGTCTCACTCTCCTAACAGTTTCTGTCAAGATTATGCTCAGCCTTGCAAGCTGTGTTATTCCTGTGGCACTGTTCTAGTGTGTCCTACTGTAGAAATTCCCTACTCCCTCATAAGAAGTTGATACTTTAACCTTGCTCTTAATATACCAAGCAGTCACAGGACAGTCGAAAATTTTATCATTAAAGAGGGTTAACTATTTCAGGATAGAGAACAAAACAGAAATCAGCTCTTCGTGTGCAGAGTCCCTTTGGCAGGCTGACAAGTGAAAAGAAATAGATAAAGAAGTTCAGCTCTGCTCCATCCTTCTGATTGTGCAGAAGCACGGATGCGTGGTAGGATACACAGGCAAGGGATAAATCACTACTAATTCACAAGAAAATGATCCTGCACAGGACAGCTTCCATTTTATATATTTCTAAGAGCTCTAATTACACTCACTGTATGAGCACCTATCAAGAATCATGCTCCAAAATGCCTGCTCTGAATTTGTTTGGGGTTTTTTTTGTCTGTTTGTTTGTTTTTTTGAGGCAAGGTTGTTCCTAGAGTTTTGTTCTTCAAAAGTCTTTAATCCTGTCTCTAATTGCCTCAATGAAAATTTGAAACACTTTGTGAACTCCTGAACTTTGTTTCAGAATAAAAGCACTCTGATGGTCCTACATCAAAGTAAATCAGGGAGGTAGCTGTGCATTTCTACCCAGTGCTTTAACCATATATTCTTTTGCAAGTGTCTAGGAGCTGTCACCCTGCTATGTTGCGATGAAAATAATTGGGTATAACTCCCACTTCTGTTATTCCTATATGATATTGCTGCTCTTGAAGAATGCTCAAAACTGATGGCTCCAAAGGCAGGTTTGAAACTTCAAAAGCCAGGTGTTCTCCTGTGCTGAGCTGCTTCCTTCTCCAAGGAAATCTGCAGAGTTTCACAATATATTCCATACACAGACATAAAACCATTCCCTCAAAAGAATGGTATGCAGAAAGAAGGCTCTAAATAGTGAGGAGCTGTGTACACAAACTTGGAATCACTACCAAGTAAATCTGGAGGAAGATATAGAGATAAGTATAGAGAATTGCACAGATAGAAAAGAAATTACAAACCCAGTTAAGAAAAACATTTAATAGTTTGTGAATACTAAGCCACTGGCTGTTATTATTTTTATTTGTTGCTCAATGCAGATACTTATAGTAGTCCTGTAAATGATGTTATTCATATAAAGATTCTGGGTTTGGCAGAGTTTTGTGCAATTTCTATGGTGTGGAAGAACTATGTTTCAGCAAGATAGAGTCTTGACCTGGTGAGAACCTAGGGGTGGGGAATTGCTGACAATCTTGTCTGCTTCATACTTCTGCAGGCAAGCAGCCTCCAGGGAAGTTCAACATCTGTACAGCAAACCAGACATTTTTGTGGGTTACAAGGTTACAAGTTGAGCCCTGGGTGCCATGTGTTGACAGCGTATGGATCCCACGTCTGCTTCTTGGCCAAAACAGCAAAGGTCAGTGTAGAAATCACAGCTTATTTAAAAAAAAAACCAACAGAGCTCTAATTCAAAATCTCTTTTTAATGATGTTGTCTTTAAAATGTTTTTTATCAAATCATATCTGACAAGTAGCACTGCTCTGAACTGATGTGTTCATTTTTTTTTTTACAGACACTAAATTTATCCTAGCCCTTGAATAGGAAAGATACAAGGCAACCTGACAGCCTATAACTTCTCTCTCCAGTGCCACTAAAACAGAGAATAATAACCCCAGAAATGGCATCCTGGGAACAAAACCCCTCCTGACACTGCTGCAGGGATTGAGAGCTCTAATTTTTGAAGCTGGAAACATCTAACAGACCTTACTCTTAGTAAGGAGATTTTCTACCAAAAAAAAAATTGCTGAAAAGTCTCTTCCTCAGCATTTGATTTTATGTAATTAATTTTGCAGAACTACCAAGCACACACTGTACTTTCCATATGCACACTGTGGTACCTTGGCCAGTTGGACAGTGCCAGCTCTGCTGCAGGAAAGGCAGTCACTGCACTAAAGAAGGTCTCAGCCTTCCCTCTCCTAGGTTACTGAAAATTTTATCCACTGACTGAAAAAGGGGAAGAAAACCTTACAGGCAAAACTCAGTGCCTGCAGTTGTGCTGATTCTTGAGCTGTTCATTTGTACTGTACCGCAGCCAAGGTCTGCCCAACGCCAGGCAAAGAGCAAAGGGCTCACCCCCAGGATGTTGCATGCAGCCCCTGTAAATAGAGGTGGGAAGACTGAGGTAGGCAATCATCAGGATTGTGCAAGGTAGAGATAAACAAGTGAGCCACCTCTTTCCAAAACAAAGCACAAAATAAGAGCTTTTAGTAGAAATAAATAGGATATACTTTTTTCTTTTGGCAGGCTTGTCCTCATGCTAAAAATTCAGCTGGTTTCTGTTTCACTTCTTCCCTCCAGCACTCTGTTGTGCTGGCTGCTAGGCAAGCTGGTGGTGCAGCAAAGCTTCACAGTGTGCTGGTGTGGTAAAGGTGCTGGCAAGGGAAGAGCTCCTTTGCTGGGATGAGTATTTGACTGTGCTGAGGGCTTGCAGCCTTTGCAGGTTGATGCAGACATGGTGGTCAGGAGGGACTTTTGTGGCCTGCCCCCCAGCAAGCTGACAAGGAGGACTGTCAGGAGGGTGGAAACTCACTGACTAAGAGCATTCTGCCCCCGAGTAGTCTGTGTGTAAATACAGATTTCCTAGGACTTTAATTCAATAGGGCTGTCCTCTCAGCTTTTGGGCTGATGACTAAGACCTATCACCTCCAAGGACAGATCTGGAAAAAGGACTTCCTGCTGCCTCACCAGGTTCCCCTCTCTGCCATTGGGTCAATCATGGCTTAAAGCATATTTTAAAGAGGAAAAATTAATTACCAGGGACATCTGTCTTCAAAAAGGACTTTCAAAACTAGCTAATATAAGTTTCAGGGCACCTTTCAAAGCATAATTCTGATCCCTGCTGAGAAATCTCAAACTGTGTAGGCCTTAGAACCTCAAGACTGTCATTAAATCCACACAATGTGATTTTCCACATGAGATTCTCTATCCTTCTATAGGTATGGATTGCAAAACCTGGGGTTTTTTTTCTTTTTCAACTCCCTAAGATTTATTCAATTTTTGTGAGAAATTTGGTGCATTTTGCTTATTTTAAATCTAAGCCATTATTGGTGCTAATTGTCATCAGTTGCCTTAGAAAGTGATTTAATTGCTAGGAAAACCTGCCACCATTTTGCCAAAGTGTAAACAGGCACTTGGGCTCTTCTAGAATAAACAATTGGAGCACCCTGAAAAACTTTGGATGTAACTAGATTTTAGCTCCTGGTTGGCAAAACCAACAGAGGTTTGTGTAAGGTAGAATCCCTCCAGGGAGTGAACTTATCTGAAGGCTTACATTTTGTGTTTAAGTTTTCTTTTATTTTGAGCTTTGTCTTGTTGCCTTCAAGGAAGACACCAGCAATGTCAACTTCCCTAGTATTGTATAATTAACATAGTATAGAAAATCAGCAGAAGGAAATCCTTAGAGGATGTAAAGAACTGTCTGGAGTCCATGAAATTGGATAAGATATATAAATCACAATTCAAGTTTGTTATAGTAGCTAGATAAATACCTTTCTTATTTTATTTTAGCATGTGCCATTGCTCTAGACTTTGATGGGAGCCTAATGGAGGAAGCACAAAGAATAATAAAGAAAATGGTGCTTCATAACCTCTGCTGTTTATCCTAATTACAATGTTCTTACAGTAATATTCTAATGATTATACTCTATATGGTACTTTATCAGATGAAACCTGACAGGGGAAGCTGCTCTCTGTGGGAAATCTTTTCTGAAGCTTAAAAAAAAGGTAAATAATTGAGGTGAATAGCAGAATTCATGCTGGATTTGATTTTTCTCATTACTCAAATCTGTCAACCAAATGGTTTTTCCCAAGGATTCTTTTTTTGACTGGTAGAACTGGGACAAATTAGGGCCACTTGACTTTAGTACGTGGCTTATGTACTATAAAAGTTTGTCAGGTCATGTTTGTGGTAGTTTAATTTTGGGCCTTTTTCAATAAAAGGCAATACATGGGGTATGATTGCCTCACATTTGACACTCATACTGAAAACAAGGACAACCACTGTGGTGCAGCCTGTCAGAGCTTTATCTTATGATGTTTCTATCTGTTACTGCTGTTCTGCTCAGAGAGGGCAGCAAAGGATTGCAGATCTTTTAGAATGCAAAAGGAGCTCAGCTCTGAGATGTAATACTGAGGAGAAATGTATCTTTTTAATATACAAAGTCTGAAAGGAGAAATAGGGGAGGCATTCACATCATTGCTGCTCAAACATACTTGAGCTTTTTGTCCTTTAAGGTGTGGGTGAATGCAACTAGTAGAGATTCTAATAAGAGAAGCACTTAATCATTTTGAGCTTAGGCATTACCTGATATGTGTGAAGAGTCCCATCAGAAACACAATAAGCTGCTGAGGATTCATTCTCAACTGGAATATTGTATGACTCATTTGGCATGAAGATAAATGCTGTGCATTTAGACAGATAATGAACAAAACACTGAAATTAATTTGTAACACAGTGAGATTAATGCCTGTTGTGATATTAGGTATTTTCATTATACTTCAAGACTTTCAGACTGTTATAAGTTTGTTTGTTTTTTTTTTTCAATATGCACAGATATAATCAGGTGCTATATGACATGATTCAGACACTATCCCTTTTGCCTGAGGACAGGAGTGCATTTCCCAGGTAGCCCCTCAGAATATGCAAATGGAGAAATTTATTAAATTACTCTGATTTGTCACCTATCTGTGGACTTAGCAATGATTCTTTTTCATCCTGTCAATGCCTTGGCTTTCACTGCTAAGTGTAAGAAGTTCAGTTAGTACAGAAAAACCTGAAAAGACAATTTATTCCTGCCCAAAGTTCAGTGCAGTGCTCCTGCAGCCAGTGTCTTACCAGCTAGAGATGGTGCCAAAGGTGCAAAGGGTGAACAGGTACAGAGGCATGACCATTTAGCAACACTATAATTTTGACACTCCTTATCATCCTTTAGTCTTGTTTCATGCCTCCTTCAATCTTTCCTTTTGTCTTTTTACGTCTCTCCTTTTCTTCTGCCCCACTAGCCTTTTGTAGGTTCTGCACAATTTCAGGATGCTGAACATACTTTCTGCATTAATAATGCTACTCTAGATACTTGGCTTTTAATAAATAAAAAAATAATATTGTACATTTTCACAGCAGCCCATAAAATAGAGATGTAATGAGATTTTAATCTGATTGTACCATTTGTACTCTGAATCACCTCCTATTATCTCCTACTAAATTATTACTGCTCGTTCTTTCCAGGGGCAGCTCTCAAAACCAGAAATCATGCCTGCTAGAGTTGCCTCCTAATCTGATGGTCATAACTTGATTGCTTCATGCTCTCTGCCCCAACAGCAGAATTCCCCCAAGGTGTGATTTGTCAGGTAACTTTTTTCATGCACTGCAAACAGCAAATGGATCCGAAATGCTTTGTCATGTGGCAGAACCAAGTCACGCTCTCTCCCAAATCAGTTTATGCACAAACTCTTAATAAGTACATATGAAATTATATATTTCTTACCATGTCATATCTGTGTTATCATGTGTAAACCACCCACCTTGGAATGAGGTGCTTGCTTTCCATCCACAAAGGAAAGTCTCAACATTATCTCTTTATATGAACTGTGACAGAAAATTTCAGTGGCATAACTGATATTCTATATAGACATCTTCTGGTCCACAAAGTCCTCTGTGTGCCCTCTGCAATTCCATGGTTGAAATAAGAAAAGTATCTTTCAACAAACTACTCCAGAGAGGAATCCTTAATAACGTTGTGATTTATCTCATTTTCTAGATCATATACTGTGATATGTGATTGGATTACAGCTGAAGAAAATTGGCTTTCTGGTTTAAGAGAATGTATACGTTTGGAACAGCATGAGGACACTTATTTCAGTGGATTTTCAACACCATATGTAGGGGTAGTAAAGGCTTTTTTATCAAAGTAATGCAAATGAATATGGGAATAATTCAATTTTCATGAGATGTTTTTATTTTCTTGGGGGTTGGCAAGTGTAAGAGCAAGGGAGAAGTAGTCAGTGTTTGGTGCTCTCTTAAATCACTAAGAAAGCATAGTGGGAGAAAAAATCAGGAAGCATTTGAACAATTTTTTAACTTAAATTCTAGAAGAATTGAGAGACCTATAGAGTTTTTCTGGAAAAGTGAGACCTTCAGGAAAAAAGGGAACTTTAGAATCACAAGGAGAGAGAGGAATAAAAGTAGAATATAGAAGTAAGAAATAAATTTCTCATGTTTCTATAGTCTGGTTTTCAAACTTCTAGTATATTCTCAAAAAAATATTTGTGTTCGTGTCTGGTATTCCTATAGCACCACTTCAGGAAAGGTGTGACTTCCAGAAGTGTGAGAAGCAGAAAAAGAAACCATCTGTTACATAGGAGATGAGTTGCCCAACAGAACTGGAGGAAGTGTCTGGAATGAGTCACTAGCTTGTTGTTTTCTGTGGGTGAAATACCAAGCCCTCTATCTCATGTTATAAACAGCACCTTTTCTTCTCTCATTCTTTGCCTTTCATGTGTTTTTTGCTCCAACTTTAATTAATTTTAAAATGTTCACGTGTGTGTTTTGCCTTGGAGAACTGGGCTTTTCCATCTGAACAGAAGATGACTCTGGCAGCTCTGAGAAGTCAAAGCCTATCCAGGTGTTCATTCTGGTCAGGGATAAGGCACTCCCAGTTGGACAAATTCCCTGACAAATCTGCAGTGTGGCCTGCGATTTCTGCTCTGGAAACCAAATATCTCTTTCACGTGGCATCAGATTACAGGAGAGCTGAGCATATTGGAGACAGGTGTTGTGCAGTCATTTTAGTATAAATTATTTAATAACAGCTTTAAGTCCCACTTATAGTAACTGATGACTTGCAGAGACAGCTGCCTTGGAAACAAAAGCATGGGTTTTGGAGACTGAATCAAATAGGCACAAAAAAGCCAAGGTAAAGGTAAGTTTGCTTTTCGGCCTGGTAAAATGATGGATGTGCTTGTGCTGTGCCCATAAATGGGGCCTGGAATACCCAAAACAGGGCGTATTTATAATTGTTCTCTTTTTGACATTCAGTTTTGAATCCCTTAGGAAAATACAGATTTCATATTTTCAATCATTATGTATTAAAATGTGTTTATCCTAGTGGTTTAAGGGTAATAAATTATGGCATGCTCAGCAGGCTGGTGGTTCTTTCTGCCTGAGTTCATCATAAATACAGCATGAGAGATGCATTTGTTAATAATCTTGAAACAAATGAAATATTTGTCTCTGTTTCATCTTTGAGCTGAGCTGTAAACTTGGAGAGATTACTCTCTAAATGCAGCTTCTTATACATTCTTTTATGACGTAAATAATGGACAATGCATACAGCCCTATGTTTCTTCAGTATTTAGTGATGCCTTTGCTCCTGGGGCACTTTTATTCTAGTTCTAAAATTGACTGATAACACCACTTAGAACCTAGAGTGGTATTTATCCTCTGAGTACAGAAGTCCACTGCGGTAGCTACTGACATGGAAATAATTTCTTTTTTGAAGTTTCAGCTATTTTCATGCAACATGATTGGAAAATGAATTGTGCTATAGCTACAAAGAGGAATAAAACAGTAAACCAGTCAGGCAGTTGCTTTGTGTGCAGTAGAAAATCACGATAATAGAACAGGATGAATCAATAGGCATCGGCTGAGTTACAGGAGATATAAATCAAGATTTAGATGCAGTGGAAAGCAGAAATTTTTTTTCATAACTTAAATACGAAAGTCTGCTGCTAAAATGTTCTCCAAGTGGAATTTAGCTCATGCAGGAAAAAAAGAAAAAGTCCCTGTTTATGATAGGTCCTTAATGGGAGACAAGTGATCCTATAAGCTTTTATTATTTTCTTGATGGGAGCTTCTTTCACCTCAAGTGAACTACCAAAGCACAATTAGCTAGGAATGGGTGAATATCATGACAACAAAGCCCAGTACTACAAATCTGACAATTAAGAAAAATGTTTCCATTGAAGGCTATAAGTATTTAACCATGGAGGAGAAGATTTTCAATTTGTCTTCCACTTAGTTTAAGACTAAGCTAAGTGCCTCTAAGGAGAGAAGGATTGTGGCTACAGTGGCAAGTTATGGACCCATGGGAACATAGAAATGTGTCTGTACAGAGGAGCATTTGATGCCCAGCTCATCTGTTTTATGGCTGTTATTTTCATTTCCTAATTCCCTGTCTACCTTTATAAGTAATGACATTTATTTTCTCTGCACTAGGTTATACAGGTACAGCAAAAAAGCAATTACTAAAATTGGGAAAGGATATGAATTTTTCAGAGTATGATTTATCTACTGATCTGCTTCATGCTCTCCTTGTCATTACTGGCAAAGTATCTTTGCACTTCTTTGCAGTTCTTAAGTGAACTGCATTCCTTTTCTGCATTAATTGGTGTCTTGTAGCTACGAAAAACAGAACGTTTAAAATTTTGTCTGGAAACTTTTAATCAATATTTATTACCTAAAAATATAGGAAATGGTGCAATATTTAAAAGACGTATTTGGGTTTAGGGATCAGAAATAATTCAGCCTCCAATGCATTCATTTGGAATGATTTTGTAAGTCTATTTTGAGACAAAAAAAAACACTGTGAAATGTTTTGAGACCATTTCATCTGGAGCTCGACTAAGAGCAGTGACATGTTTTACCTCAGTGCATTAGCCTGTAGGGTGCAATGACTAAACTACTGACTTAAGAAAAAATACCTGCAGTTTTGAAGATATGAATGGTTGTTTTTTTTCAATTGTTTTTTTTTTTTCCTTAGAAATACTATTCCTGATGCCATATCAACCACTTTCTCAAGAGTTCAGCTTTGAAGCATGATCTAGACTAATTTTTACATTATTTTTCCCAGCATATCTTCAATAGAGTTGAGAAATTTATGAAGCTTCTTGTAACCTTAAGTTAATGTTTATTTTCAGAGATCACTGTGCTTCATTCAAATGGGATCTATACAAACCACAAACTGGTTTCCAGGTAAGTGCAAAAGTACTTTTGTGCTAAACACATTGGAAATTTGCTAAAGCAGAATGGGAAAATATTCCTATTCCATGCTTAGTTTCCTATGGCCCAAAGTTATCAGATAATTAACTTTTAAACCAGGCTGTGTACAGGAAAGGCATATTTGGCCCCAGCAAGGATTGGGTCTATAGAAAATCTGAGCTGCACTTTTGGACTAAACTCCCAGTCCTTAAGCTTTCAGGTTCCTTCTGGTGTCACTTCTCGTTTCCAGCATTTCCTGTTCTGTAGGCTTACCCTGGTGTGAACCATCTCATGGGAAATGCTCCCCCAGCTCTAACACCTCCTGTGCAGAAGGGAAGCTGCCAGCTCCCCTTTCTTTTGAGAAAACCAAACTGCTCATTATAACTGGTGAAAATCCCTCTCTGCTGGAGCTGCCCTGGAAAAGCAGCTGGGCAAGTGTAGCTCTGTGAGTCTGGGAACTCTCCTGTCCTGAAGCAGTGCTCAGAGGAGCAGAGCAGTGATGCTGGAATCTGACAGCCTGGAAGGCCATTATGTAGGAGCAGGCTGATCTCAGGCTGGACAAAAGTCCCAGGGCAGGAATCACACTTAGAGATTGAAAATGAGCTCTTACTAAGTCATATTACTTGAAACTTTAAAATTCAGCAAGGTGTTATCAGATGTGCCCTAAGTTCTGACCTTTTTCATCATTTATGTTAGGGACACCTTTTCTTCCTTGAGGAACACCTTTCTTCAGTAGATGCTAAAAGAGAAGAGTTTGAAATTGTGGTCTATTGTCTTACAGGAGGCTTAAAGCAGCATTGCTAATGACCACTTAATTTTGCATTAATTATAAACTAATCTCTATTTGCTGTTATATCCTTGATTAGAACCAGCTCATATGGTGCTAATATGACCTCCACAGAGCTTATAAGTAATTGAGGATGAAAGCAGCATTTGTTAATCAGCTGCTGGGTTTATCTTTCTAAAACACAATTTCAGGTTAAGTACATGCTCAGGAGGAGCTTTCCTGTCACATGTGAAAAAACACAATCATTGAAAGGCTCTTTTCATTCTCTTTAGTTTTCAAGTGGCAATTTTTAGTGGAAAGTACAAGGTGCGAACAGGAAACCATTCAGTCAGTAGCAACTCATACATACTGGTTTGTTTTTTACTTATAACACATAAATATGGGGGAGCAGGGGGTTAATGGATTATTAGAGCAGAGAAGTGTGTTCTTTGCTGTGGCCCATTTCCTGTTGTGAAGAAAACTCTTCAGTTTAAACATGCAGAGGAGAAGTTTTATTCAGGCTCTGTGACATTACCGCTACCAAATGCTCTGCTCTGTTGCTTGACAGCAGGAGACCTAAGAAGTGAAAAATGATTCCTGGGTTGCAGTTTGGCCAAAAATGCTCAGGGAATAAATAATGCAAGATTGCCTGGGAACCTAGGCACAGTCTTGTGTCTCTTTTAAGCTCTGTTAAACCCCTCAACACTAGCAGCATGGCTGGATGCTCTGTGCTTTCTCTAGCACAAATGACTTTTTCCTGAGGCACATGCAGTTAAAATCTCTTTTTATGGCCTGTGACCCCAGTGAAGATTCAGACATCAGTAGCTTGAGCTGTTTAGATCAGTGCTTCAGGGTAGACAGTGGTAAGAGCTCTTTCCTGGCTTTCTGTGAGCTCTGGTTTGTTTATGACTTCAGCTGGTGGCACAGTTTGTCCCTCAGAGCTGAGCCTGTGTGTGCATCCTGCAAGGAACTTCTGGCGCATTTGCAGTGGGAGGAAGACTCTGTACAACTGGTTGGTATCCTCTTCCAGGGTGTTTAAATTCAGATAAAATTTCAAGCAGCTGGACTAAATACATAGAATGTGAAAGCAGCAGTCAACCCAGGTTTAGGTGTCTGATTTCAGTCTGAGATTGCTGCATTGGGCTTCAGGCAAACAGACCTGCACCTGCTCAGCAGTGCAGCAGCCTGAGTTGCAGGGTGTCATTGTACCTCTCCTCATCTTTCTGGCCTTACTTGGGAGGATCCTGAACAGAATCTTTTCCCTTTCTTCCCGCCTGCATGGTTGTGCTACAACACTTGGCCACCTTTGCCTTGTACTTCAGCTATGTAGAAAAAAAGGTTTTATGCAAATTTCCACCCTGCCCCAAGAATTATACCCAAGCACATTTATAATTCAAAGTCTTCTTTTGATGTAAGAGAAGCTAAACCATGCAAGCTTCTTTAGCGGAGATGGACACAACGTTTCACCAAATTTAGTTGGGAATCCTGAAACCTCTTCAGCAAAATCATCTTGTCTACATTAGTTACTCTCTTGATTATCTCCTGTCTTGCACTTTATGTGTCCAATGACACCTGTCCCATTCAGAAGTGGTTTGATCAGCACTACATTGCCTACAGATCACAAGTTATTAACTTCTCCAGCCCCTTACACCCTCCCCACCCTGCCTAAGCAACCATACATATTCACAGAAAGTAAAGACAGGAGGAAATTATGTACTTTTAAAATCCTTTTACTTCTTTACCTTTTTATTCTAGAGCTGCAGCTAAAATGGAAAAAGGGGAGTACTTCTGTACTTCCTAAGCCTGTTAAGTGGAACTTTTATTTATGCATCAAAAACTAGTGGAGCAAATATTATCTTGCAGCCTCTGATTGTCCTCTACAGGCTGTTATTTTCTACTACATGGTATTTAGCTTCAAGCTGCAATTGCCACCCTCTGGGGAATCTCATCTGTCGTTTTTATGAGTGAAGTGCATTTCTAGCTTTCATGACTAATGGTGAAAAAAAGTTAAAAGCCTTTCAATGGAAAAGTTCTACCAACAAAGTAAAAATATTAATTTCTTTATAACATCATGTTTTAAATTCTATCATAAAGTAAAACCTGTATTTTTAATAAGTGGGCATTAAGTGTTGGTGGCAATATGGCGGGACTGGATGGCAAGAAAAGTTTTCAGCTCCTCACACAATAGCAGTTATAAAAGCTATTTAAGACATATTTCAAATGTATCTGCAGTGCTGAAATGTATTATGTATTTGACTTCACTGAAAATTGTGTATTACTCTTTGTCTCAAGTTACTGGAAGCTCTCCAGTGGTTTTGAATGCTGCAGTCCTAAGGTTTATTTTTGAAAAATACTCCCAAAATAGTTCTGAATTTGGTGTTTATTCTGGCAAACTGTGTGAGTTGTTCAAAATATAATAGTTTACATCTTTTACCTCTGTAACAGTCACAAAGTATGTTCCTCAGGAAAGGTAAAAAAACAAAAGATGTCAGTGATTAAACAGTTAGGCCCCATTTGTGTGAGAAGATAGATGCGAGAGAAATGCAATGTACTACTGGCATGGTGATACAGGTACCAAAACAGGAGCACAGCTGTTCTCCAGGTTTTTAAAACTAAATTTTATGAGCTAATACTTAAAATCACTTCAGCTTTAGTGGATTGTAATGGGAACAATGCAATGACCTGACCCTGTGAAAGAGGCACTCCATTGTACCCAGCAGCCTGGGCTGTGCACAGGGCTGAGCACAGGCACAGCTGGGGAAAACCTGTTTTCTAGCTTGGGCTAGAAATGTTCTGAGATGTTCTGGTAAGGCAGACAAATAATGAGGCTACTTAAAAAAAATAAGCATATTTGAAGAGTTCTTGTGTAGATTCCCACTCCTGGGAAACAAGTGTGTTCCTGTCTGCCCAGAATGAGTCCTCAAATCCAAGTAAGAGTGCCAAAAGTAATTCATAAATAAATATAATTCTTTCATATACTATAAAAGGTATATTTTGTACTAGAATAGGTAGCTAAAATTATTAATAATAATTGTGTGGAGTTTCTCGTATCTTACTAACAAAAATAGTGCTTAATCTTTAAAACTCTATATAAAGCTACTAATAAAGGCTGTAAAGGGTGACCCCCATGGAATAACAAAATTATATTTTATTAGTTAAGTAGTTGACATTCATGGTTATTACATTTCTCAGAGTTATTAAATATTCTCTTTGATTTGTCATTCAAGTTAAGTCTGCTGTGTTTTAATAACCTACTAAACTATTTCAGTTTGAATCATTTTGGCCTCAAGCAACATTCAACATCTTCCCATCTCTTGAGAGAGATTCTGAGGATGTAGAACTCTGTTCATTCCTGTTTGTTTTATTTCTATTTCTTTGAGTCTTCATCTGTTCCCTGTTTTTATCTACTAGCTGAACTTCAAGGAGCTTTAAATAGAGCTTTTCTTGTTTACCCTTGCAGGAACCTTCCAAGAATATTTCTGCACTGAAACCTTTGCAATATCTGCACCTTACGTAGTTTCAAGTCAGCTGAGATGTATCAATCAAAGGTGAGGAGATTAATCTGCTTCCTTGGGCACTTACAGCCTCTCCTTTGCCTGTCAGCACTGCAGCTCAGAGCAGCACCCCTGGCTGCTGCAGCCTGAGCCCCAGCACTGAGAGCTGCACCTGGGGCTGAAGCACAGAACCAGCATGTGTGACTGCAGGAGCTGGGTGGATGCAGGGCTGGACCTCACCAACCCATCAGGTGCTCAGGATATCAGCTTTCAGGGGACCTGCAATGATGAAGTACTTTACTAGCTGTCTGCTAGAAAATGCTTCTCTGCTTTTGCACAAATTAGAATCTAAACATGTGGAAAAGGAGCAGATTTGGTATTTTGAGATCTATGTGCTTCCAACAACATGATCAGCTAAAACAGAGAGAATTTTCTGTTCACTCTCCTGAAAAAGTCTATGGAAAATGGAATTCTGTAATACCTTTTATCTTAATTTTCAGCTCATAACAGCAATAACAGCCACAATAAGTGGTTTGCTGAGAATTCATTATTGGTTGTGTCCCTTCAGTAAAATACAAAGCAGCTTCATTTCACTGTGATCATCAGATCTTAACAGTAGCTTGGTAAGTTCATTATTTTCCTTTGCTACTCTATTTTCTGCCATGTGTTTTCAACAACAAGTTTCTCCCAAGAGCTTTGAATTTCAATTGCAGATAAAACATTGACAATACACATGTTCTAACACTTGTCAGAGAGACACTACACAGCCATTTCCCAGCAATAACAACATAATAAGAGCTTGGCAGATTTTTTTTTTTTTCTATCAGCAGGCTAGATTATTTTAAATTGACAACAAGGGCCAGGTAGCTATTCATAAGGGCAAGATACGAATTACAAGCATATGTTTTCAAGGCAATGTTGGCCAGTGGCTGTTCAAGCATAAATTGCTTCTTATTACCACTTTTGGTGGGAGGTAAATGGTCCAGTTCATCTCTGTGGGAACAGAAAGCAGCAGGACACCTCCAGCATTACTCTTTGCACTGTTCCCAGTGGAAGAAGGCAATGTTTACTCCACTGTGACACACCTAACTGACATTGCTGTGAGTCATTTCCTTGTGCTGTTGAACAAAGATTAGGAATCCTGCCCCATACTGTTATGTAGCATTCCTGTAAGAGGGCTGCTTGGTGCAGAAGGTGAAATGAGGAATTCGAGCTGGTAATGTGTCCTACAGGATAAAAAAGGTGAAATGATGATCTGAGGGAAAAAAACAGGATTCCTCAGTGATCCTAGGAATAAAATCACTAAACTTTAGTAATTCTAGCTCTGAAACAGGTAAGAAACAGACTTGAAAACATTACTAGGTTGTGAATTTAGAGTGAAATATTTCTGGTTTCTGTTTGTTTATGAAAGGACAAGACAGAAGCTGATTATAGTATGGTCCAAATTTTTACTAAACCTGGATAAAAAATACAGGAAGGGAGAAGAGAAGACCACTTGTCCTGCTCAAAGGAAGGAATAAGGCTATGTCTAAAAATATTGTCAAAACAAGAGCTGCTTGATGCATTTTTTTTAATGGGCTCTATTTGATTTTCTCTTTTTTTAATTGAAGGCATAGAAACAATAGTTCAGTCAAAATGACTTGACTCTAGAAACTTGCCTATAATTTTCATAAAAACCAAGAGACCGCTTTGATATCTGTAGTTTAAATAAATTATTTCAACTATATGAGAGAGAAGAAATCTAATATTATCTGAAAGCAAAGGCCAAGTAGCTCTGTTAATATAGGCTTAAGTTGCAGATTCTTGGGCAGGAGAGAACCATGACTATATATATATATATAAAAAAAAAAAAAAAAAAAAAAAAAAAAAAAAAAAAAAGGAAATCTGGTCACCTCTTTTCTTGATAGCAAAGTTTGAATTGTTTTTCCTAGAATAGAAAATTGATAGATTAAAAGGGATTTGGGTTTGGGTTAAGTTTCAGTTCAGTCTGGTGAAGCCAGTTCTTTAAAATCCGATGCTCCAAGCTCTGTTCCTCATCTCTGCTTGGAAAGTCATAATCTATATTCAGTATTCCTCCTTTTTCTCCATCCACCTGTGTACACTTAGATATAAAAATCTCCCTGGGATCCACTCCCCAAAATAACTGTATTATTGAGCTGGCAGCATTTCTCTGATGCCATGTTTTTTCATAAATATAAACAGGTCTCATATTCTTCCTCTAAGATGTTTATCCTCAAGTTAAGGTCCAGGGCACACAGAGCAGAATTTTCTTTCAGTATTAGCAGTGTGGTTAAGTGCCACACTGTCTACATTTTTTCCTCCAATTCCTTCCTCACTGCTCTGTAAATTAGCATACAAAGTATTTTATCAGTGTTTCTTATGGGGGACTGTTGAACTTCCCGTATTTTTGTTTGGTTTTATGTCAATAAAATTGAATTGTGGGAGAGGGGGAGGTAACACTTCACCTACTGGATTGTTTCATGACATAAGAGGTGACATATGCTTAGTGCCCTGTATTTCTGATAAAGTCTTAAGCTGATGCCAATAAGCCCTCTTAAAACTAACTAGAAACACTTAACTCCGTATGATTTAAAGCTCAGCAAATAACTTAGAGTGGAAATACTAGAATACAAATATTAAAAATGGCTATTGTTTTGAAAGAGGTAAACATGGAGAATTGACCACACCTGCTTACCACACAGATGCTGTACCAAGGACTCGCTCAGAGTCAATACCAGGAACTTGCAGCACAGTGACACACTTTAAATTATTGTCTCACAAATTGCTAATATAAACTAGTAGCATGGTTGTATATCACTATTTTATGTGAAAGAGCATGGCATAGCTTTACATAGATCAGGATATGCTAAGTTACCATAATCAGCTCACTTCAAAACAGCAAAATTAGGAGTTTACCTTGTGTTCTGAAAATGAGAGGCTTGAAAGTTGTATAAAATTCATTCTGGTTCTGAAACCACCTTGGCAGTTAGTTTTTTGAGGGTAGCATGCAGAGCTGTTACAGAAAGAAGCAGTCCTTTTGGCTGCATCTTAAAAATCAGATTCCATTTTCTCCCCAAGTTCTCATTTGCTGAGAGTTGAGCAGGGTTTGGGTTTAATCCACTCAGCACATAATTTTTAACATTTTTATGGTTCCTCCTAATGATAGAAAGAGGCATGCAGTATCTGGGGTCCACTGAAACCATTAAAGTTCCCTGGCTGAGTTTTGTGGGTGTTTCTCAGTAGAGGCCTTCAGCCATTACCACACAGATTTACCTGCAAATTTCAGAATTCCCATCCCAGCTATTCTACAGGGATGCTAGATTGCAGAAAAAAAATTTTCTTTCTCCCTTGTTTGAGTTTGTTTTCCCTCATTCTCTGCTGCATAACTAAGGGAAGTAAATCTAATGACTAAGTAATCTCTCACATTGGATTAAGCTTTAGATTTCTTATCAGTTTCCATAGTGCTAGTATGATCTGACTCATGGGAGAACAACTGTTATCAAATGTATCTTTCTTCAAAAGTTTTACCAAAATATAATAATTGATAAGGTTTTCCTAGATCATAAGCCATGCCACACTTTCATAAAAGGATAGAGATAAGCTAATGGAGCTTTACTGATCTCCCTGTTTAATGTTTTCAATTCTTTAATTTTCTTATAATATAAACTGTGTTAGGTGGAAGAAAGAGTACAAATCTCCAGAGACTCACCATGTTCATGTATTAGAGCTGCATGTATATGCAATGATGCAGCAGAAAAACTAGCCCTTACAGGTGTTGCAGAGTTGCCTAGAAATGAGATCTATTGAGATTTGTTCTGGTAACATTCCCAAGAACTTGGACACCTAGTAATTTAAAATTTTGTTTCTCAATATCTGGATACATTAAGGTTCCATCTTATTCTGAATTGAAGAAATTTCCTATGTACGCCAAAGGTCTGCTGCCATCCAGATACAGAATTACATGTGTCTTTGACTATGCTCAAGTGTCTGGTATCTGTGCTATTTCCAAACTGCATCAGGAATTGGAAAAAATATTTTATCTGTTGGGTATTGTCTAATCCACATTTTATGCACTCAACACTAGTTTTTTACATCTACCTCATCTACAGAGAGAAATAGCTTCTATTGGTGGTGTAAAAGGACTAATTCTGCATTCAGAGCTCTGCTGCCCATCTGGTAGATGAAGGACTTGGAAGATAGATTGTCCAGACCATATATTTGTGAGTGTTAACTGATCATTTGCTAAGAAGGAAACCTGCCACATCCTCAGTTTGCTATTTGTGGGGGTTTTTGAGATGGAGAACAGACCATGCTGGGCACTTTTAACTGGAGGACAAGACTCACAGCTGTGAATGGAAATGGATTTAAGTGCCTGCACTGTGTCAAGGGAAATCCTAAATGTATCATCTGCTTTGGTATTTTATCTTGGCTAGGTCAGGCAGTTGATATTAAACATCTCTAATTGCTGAGCAGGGAGGCTAAAGATGTTAGCTTGCAGCTGTGAATCCTGCTGGAATTATTCAGAGAGAATAACACTATAACGCTACTATTAGGGATGATGACAAATACTTTATGTAAAATGCAAATGAAAAATAGAAAACATCCTATCTTTAAGAGACCACAGTATAAACTAACAAAACACAGAAAATCCGTGAAGCTGAGGTATTTCTATCTCTCAGGTGAGGCACTGATGTGTTGGCTTGCTAAGGTTTATGAAACAAACTCCATCTGGGATCAAACATTCTAGAGCAGAGTGCATCAGAATTAGAAGGAAGTTACAAAATCCCAATATTTCTTTCTGGGAAGCAAGAGGAGCAAAACCTCTGGTTTCTTCTTTTTTTTTTTTTTTTCCTTGAAAATTATGTCCATTTGAGAATTTTGTGCATATACACAGATTTTTTTCCAAGATCCATCTCTGACCAAGAGAGGATCAGCTGTCTTGCGCAAGAGAGACCAGAATGAGCATTCTAGCACAAAGCTAGAAAATTGTATTAAGGTAAGATGAGTACATCAGATACAGAGAGGGGATGAATGTTTAGGTCATACTATCTGGAATGTACCAGGCTTCCCTAAGATGAATCACAAGAGTATCTTTCCTTTTATGAGAGCCACTGGTGGTCATCTGCCATTTTTTGCTTTTATAAAACAGCAAACAACTTAAAAATATGACCTAGAATTGCTGAAAGTTACTTTACGTTTTTATATCTTTTGTGTCTAACAATCTGGGGTTATCTGATGGTTCTGGATTGTATTTTCTACAACTTTGACTTTATTTTATTAAAAAAAACCAAATTTCTCAACCCTTAAAACTGACCTCAGTGTTTGCATAGCAAATATATGAGCAAAACTGAAAAAGCTCACTCATGGCCTCAGTATCCAGTCTCCACTTCAGCCGTATTATTTAGCAAACACCACACTATATAAAGGGGATTTGTGTGAACTGCTTTTTCATTTCATTTTGAAGCAGAAGGGTAAGTTGAATTTCCTTTTAATAAATCACAAAAATTTCATCTAGAAGGCAAACCTGTTCCTTTTGATTTCTTTGGTCATATTTACGTTCTGAAATTAAATTTCCCTTTATTAGTAATTTTTTTACTTTGCTTATAGTAGCAATTTTAGTAGATAAGGAGATGCCTGAAGGAGACTAGATAGTAATGACTGATGAAGGTCATTAAAACTGGATTAAAACTGAAGGGCTGTGTTTTTTCAGTTTTGCTATATAACTGATCAGGAGTCTGACTCTGCATCATAATGATCCAATTATGAACTGGATGCAGTAGTCCATTCAAATGTAATTCCCTGAATGATCATCACAAGGCAAAGGGTACATGTTGTAATTGCATTTCCTTATCTCAAGGATGTAAGTATTCCTAGCCACCTAAGGTAGGTTTCTCTTAGGGTCTTGAATAATCTCTCTCTGAGACACTGGCCAGTGTTTCCAGAGGTGTCTCCTGGCCTTCAGTAAAGGGCAAACAATTGCTTTGTTCATTGTTATAGAAGACTTTTGAGATTATTTTTAATCTGCATCAACAGCAACTTGTTTTTCTAGGGGAATGTCTCATCAGCCTCAATCTGGTGCAACATGTCCTTGAATATACAAATATTCAATTATGTGATAAATTTGCAGCAAATAGGACCTGTTTAACTAATAGCATTATGGTCAAGAATTTGCACTTTAAAGAATGCAAAATCAAATCCACCTGAGAACACATGTGCAGTATTAAACGTTCTGTTGAGTTTGGTTTATTGAATTTGAAGCATCTCAGTTGTTTACCCTTTACTGAAGGATATTAATTGTGTAAGTCAATCCATGAGCATCACCCCAATGCAGGTAAATACCCATTCTGGAATCTTGAACCTTTCTTTATATCTCCTGTTAGTTTAACTGAATTGTGTCAATAACTGGATATTTCTATGCCATAGTATCTTAAAGTCCTTCAGGTTTCACAGCTGCACAGCACACCCACTCACTCTGCTGTAAACCCACAATGTACAGTTTTAAAATGCTTTTTAGTCACAATAGCTCAGCACTAAGATTATAACCCTAGTTATTGTTTTATCTGTGGGGATAAAATAAGATGAATAAGCCCGTTGCCAACCAGCAAAAATGCATTTTCTACAAGATTAACTGACATTTTCAAGCTTGTGGAATTTTGTTCAAAACAGGATAGGAATGTCGATTGAGGTATAAAGTTTTGCACACGTGTAAAACAGTATCAGTTTATGCCAAATAAATGCGCTGAGATAGTGTTGTGCTTTAACAAGCTCCCAGACATTACCAGAAGCACTGTAAGAGATTTGCCTTTCAGGTTCATATCCTATGCATCATTGAGTGATTACAGTCCTTGCAGACAGCTAATGCCTTAAGAGTGATCAATTACCTCTGAGCCTATCATTTCTCAAGGATTAATCCAACAAATAGTCAGTGACAGTGAAAGGGATAATTTATCTTCACTACTCCAAGTTAATCAGTCTAGAAAGAGTTTTGTGCATAACCTACACCATGGTTGCAAAACAAATCTGGGAAATCTCTTACACCTGAGATATAAACTTCATTTAAACAAGGAAATACTGTAAATTTCAAGAAGGGATGATGGGGGAGAGCATGCAGCTGTGTGAACAAATGTCTGCAGTTTCTTACAGAATCATTGCCTGACAAATGTGTGGTTTTTGTTTTGTTTTTTTTTTACAGCCGGCCTGAGAAATCATGTTGTCCTACTCATCCTACATCCTCATAGCACTGGCTTCTTTGTTAGTGACTTGCCATGCATTGAGCAAATGTCAGGAAATTTCTGGGCTACCTGGTGTCCCTGGAAGGGATGGTAGGAAAGGTAAGCAAACTTCCCTCTTTTGCAAGAGAGCCGCATCACAAAGGCTGCATGACTAGAACAGGTAAGGCAGAAGGACACGTGCTCTCAAGGAAGCAGGTGTGTTAAACACAGGAAGGAAAAGAGAATGCAGGAAAAGGGCAGTTTAATTTTTTTCTAAAAACAGGTCTCCTCTTTCTTCTGAGGGAAGAAACACTAACATAAATATTTTATATATATGTAGAAATGCTTTCTCCAGGTCTGCTGGCAAGGCTAAAGCACGATCAGAATTATTGCCAGACTCCCTGTATTAGGTCAAATATGGGGTTTCTGTAATGGATTGTGAAGTGCAGTAAGAGCTGCAATGTTACAGCTCAGGGATGCAGCAACCTTTTGTGCTTCTACATTGCTCTTAGTTTCAGCTGTGAATTGGGATTGTGATCGTGGGAGTACATCAGTGACTTTATTCTACATGTAGGACCTCTGTTACCTGTGGAAAGTGGAATGAGAAATAGAGAATAGAATCTCCCTTTACAGTGGGTTCCCATCTTTAGCAAGCAGTGCTGATGTATTTCACACTATCCAGAAACCTTCCACTGCCACTGTTTATGGCTCCCATTAAAGCAAGACCAACACAGAGCATACACCCAGCACTTTAAAAAGAAAACCACACGGTGCCATAGAAACTGTTTCTTCCTCAAAGGATCCCTCGTGCCTGTTCACTACCAATTAATAGAATGAAACCTCTCTTTGGCAAAGCCAGTTTCACAGATACAACTAACAAAAGGCTTCAACCTGTAAAGCTTCTTTTTTCAACCTTTCAGTTTCTTTTGTAAAGAGGGCAATTATCAGCATTTCAGAGGATTGGCTGTTTTTGTTAGTGTCCTTTAATCTAAATTAACAACAATGTGAAGAAATACTGGGGAAATGTTTATTTTACACTTATTAATTTATTATATAACATTTATTAATTTATAACATTTATTAATGTTAAAAATACTTTTGCAAGTTACTTCTGGAAATTAATTGATTTTATCCAGGGGATTGTTCCTAGCAGCACAGCCTAGTATAACTGTATAACTTTTGTTTTTATCTGTATAGGTCTGCCTGATTCTCTGGCCAGCAACCACAGTGCATTAGCAAGTTTGAAACACCGACTTTTCCAACTTGAGGCTGGTAATTCTTCCCCTGGTTTCTTTTTCAGCTCACAATCAATTTTAAGTGCAATAGGCAAGTTAGTTACAGAATCACGACTTGCACGAAAGAAACTGCATTTGGAATGGGTACTACACTCCAAAACTCCACTTTCTCACTCAGAGCAGGGGAAGCCAGGATTCTGGTTTCCCTGGAGAGAAGCAGATTCCTCTTGGCAATCACAATGCATATTTATTCAAATTTGGTTTATTTTTAAAAATATTCCGACTACTTGATGTTGCACGCTCCACATGATTCATGGAACTCAGTCTTGTACCACTTTTATCTATCAGCAACCAGATTGTTAAAGGTGGTAAGTTGTTTTGTAATGAAAAGGGATTCACAAAACAATTATCATTTTTCTGTTTCCCTTGCTCAAATCTGTAGCACACTGATCTTTAGAAAGTACACAAACTATAACAGGGCTGATATTTAGCAGATATTGGTGGGACATTCTTGTCTTGAAGACAAGGACAGGTGGTCACAAGCAGCAAAATATATTTAGTGAACAGTTAGTAAATGGATAAAATTAAAGATTGTTATTTCTCTTAATCTTTTGCTCAATTTTTCCCTCTGTTCCTCTTAGTGCTTTTAGTTTTCATCTCTTGATTTTGTTTTCTTTGCTTTTACATCACTATGGCATAGAAAATTTACAAAGCTAACTCTTTTCATGTTTCAGTGCTTTCTTTGAATGGGAAAATAAGAAAAGTAGGAGAGAAAATACTTGCTAGCAACGGGAAGAAAGCTGACTTTGCATCTGCACTACAATCCTGTGAAGAGGCTGGAGGAACTCTTGCAGCTCCCAGGAATGAGGAGGAGAATAAAGCTATTATGGACATTGTGAAACAGTATAACCAATATGCTTACTTGGGCATTAGAAAGGAGGAGACTTCAGGTCAGGTTAGGTCTGTAAATGGCCTGCCTCTGAGTTATAGCAACTGGCACCAGCACGAGCCTAATGGCAAAGGGGATGAGAAATGTGTGGAGATGTACACTGATGGCACCTGGAATGACAAAAAATGCAATATGTACCGTCTCACAATCTGTGAATTCTAAAGAATGGCCTTTCAGCCACCTCAGAGCATGGAGATAATGAAGTATCTGTCTTTCGGGTTGATTAAATTTCTGCAATTTCTCTGTATCCTAAAATATAAGATGAATCATATTGTGATATTTTTTAGCCTTAGGAAAATGCCAAATGTACTAGGTGAGTAACATGATTAAAATGTGCCTGAACTGATGTGCCTGATGTGTTTCTCCCTTTTGGAGGGTTGGGAATACCTCAGAATTTATTTCTCATGGCAGACTGTCTCCATACCTTTGTGAAGATTAGAGGAAAATTCCAAGGTTTGACTTGGGATATTGGAAATGCTGAAGTTAAAATTGCCCATGACATCATATTTGGAAGCATTTTGAAGTACTTAATGGTTTCTGCCTCAAAAGAGATGCACAGAGGTTGACTTCACTGCAGCAATTATAGTTTCAGGTTTTGGACATCACTTTCAATCACAGAGCCTGTGTCACATTGAACCATTCACTGATTCATTGGCATCCACCTTTTGTTTTATAAAAATATCAATCATACTAGTTACAATTAATTTTTCTAGTTACAGAGGCCACTCTCTATAAAACACAAAGATAAATATTGCACTCAATTCAAGTAGATAAAGTGTATAAAATGATAAAAATTGCATTTTGTTGCTAAAACAGCACATTCAGACAACCAAGAGATTGCAGTGTTAGAAGACCACCTGTTTTTCCCCAAAATATTGAGTAAAGCAGATAATATTTTGGGAAGGCAACTAAAATTGAACTTTCAATCAGTTCAAACACTGAACATATCTATAACATCATCTCTGCTGCAAACAACAGCATGGACAGACTTCAATTCAAATCTGGTAGCACCAAGAAGCAAGTTTTCACAAAATATTTTCACTGCTACTCCATTTGGGCAGCTGGTCAGCAGGGGCAGCTGAGTAGAGTAGCATGAGCAGCAAATTCTCACATTCTTACCTTACAGTGAGCAAGTCCTGGGCTCATCCATCCTCATTGATGCACTACCTGAGGTGGGGGGGAAAAGAAAGCACTTTTACGCTTTAAAATTCATGCAATAAACACAATCTCCTCCCCCACATTTGGCTCTGTGCAGGAAGCCCCTGGGAAGCTGGACTTGACTCTGGGCAGTCCCAGATGTTCCCAAGCCTCCCACAAGGAAGAGAGGTAGGGTCTATTCCCAGTCATTGCAAATTCCCATCCCTGTCAAATTTTTGGCAAAGGGACAATTCATCTCCAGGTTGCATGCAGCACTCCAAGTGCTAAGGGAGCAGAGCAGGATTCTGAAATGGAAAAGGTACATCCAGGACCCTGCTGGATAGATTTCAAAGTGTGAAACCTGCTTTCAAACCTTTCCAAAGCAGCTTGTTTTGAGACCAATGACCATGATACCATTTTAGCCAAAAGTTTCAGATGGGAAGGGAATAGAGCCACGACAACAACTCTTAACTCTATGGTTACATTGAGAAAAAAGCAAGGATAAATTTATACCTTTTCATTTTCCTGGGTTTAGATCTGACCAGCTACACTAAATCTACTAGAAAGGGTTGAAGGTTACTTTAAACTACCTGTTAAATATTAGTATTTTAATATGCAAACCTCATTAGCAATTTTGAGGCTAACTGTGCAGTTTCTTTGTTAAAGCAAAGTGTTTACCCGTCACAAAAAGTCACCAAAGCCTTCCCCCAAAAAATCCCTAATAACATCTTTCATTCTGTGAACAGAAAAAGTATATTTGTTTACATATATCTCCAAATAGTTTTGGGATATCCTATTCCTTTAGTTAATGAAAAATTTATTTCTGCCACATTGGGGTTTGCAAAATCACTTAACAAGCAATCTCTTATTAAGACTCTTAATGAGTAAAAATATTTGACAAATGTTTAGACACAGTATGACATCTCTATTGAAACTGATTTAGACTTCAAGACAGCAGGGTGTTTGTCATCCAGTTAAGAAAAATAAGATTTTTATTTTCCAGTCACAAGCTAGTACTTATTACATCACTAAGCAAACTATCTAAGCTGGGTCTAAAAACCCAATTTCTTCTGCTTTAGCCATTATTATTGAAAAAAAGGAGAAAAAAAATCAAATCAAACCCATACATGCAGCTGAAAAATAAAAGCTCCTCATATTCAGCCAGAAACTGCTAGGCAGTATTTTCCTCTTTATGGTTCACACTTGATCTGTAATGTTGCTTGATTATTCTTTGCAGCTCCACGGCGAAAAAGTATCTATAAATTGTTGGGGTTTTTTTAATTTTGATATGGCTTTTTTTGTGTGTGTTGGGGTATAAAACCTATCAATTGATACCCTCAAATGCTATTTAGAACACCAGCATTTCTGTCTATTTTTTGTGAAAGATCTGAATTCTTCATTTATGTATTAACTTTTTTTTAATGGACAGAGGTTGGGTACATGAAGAAATAAAATACATTGTTTCTGTGGTATTACTATGATAATATAAATATTTTTGATAAAATCTTTCCTTAAAAGTGCAATGAGCAACAATTCCTTATGTATAATGACCAGACCAGGAAAAATCTAAGTTAATCTTTTTTTTTTCTTCATTTATAATAATTTGCTACAGAAGTACAACATAAATTTAAGACCACTAAATCAGAAAATCAGTTATTCCCCAAATGAAGCTGGTTTTAAGAATTAAGATCCTAGTACAAGTAAAAAGATGCCAAACATTCCAATCCTCTTGAGGCAAGTGGATCCTGTCTCACAGAACAGAAATTGAATACAGTTAATATTATATGATTAACAATAAGACTTAGGCCAAAAAACTATGGATATTTATTTCAGAAAGAATTGTCTCTGGTCTAGAGGAGTGATATCCTCTTTTATAATGGTGTAATGTAATTAGTTATTTCAGCTTAGAAGTGCTATTACGAATTTTAAGCAAAACCTCCCACCAGCCCCCATCAATCCCTACCACACGTGAAGAAATTGATCATTGATTCTAGCAAAAACAAATTTTTCTGATTTTTGTAGAAACTTGATTTAAAAACCCCATGGTTCTTGAGAAAACTGAGTTCAAATTCAACCTTTTGTGAACCTAACTGGGAGGATGTGACACAGGCTGCCAGGGCTCCCTTATCTTGTATAAATTGTGAGCTGTACCTCAGAGTATCAGGTTGCAAGTGATCTTTCATTATCGGAAGTTGAAGCATATTTTTATAAAATCTTATTAGCCAACAGCTACACAAACACAGCTGATTCCAAAACACAATAGATACAAGATTCTTGAAAATTAGAGTAGCACCTTAAAAAAATGATAAGAGGACTGGGATGTTTTTTTGAAGACCCTGTTAGGAAACCAGGGCTTGGCAGAATTTCCCTCAAGGGTTGTAGCCAGGTGTGATGCCAAGTGAAACCTGGACTGAAGCTTTCACCCTTCTCTGCCCTGGTGGCTCAGGAGCTGAACAACACTGCAGAGCAAAGGTACCTTAACCCTTGAGGAGGCTGTGGCAATGGAACTATTCAACTATTAAAGAAATGAGATCTTTTCTTGCTTTCTATTGGCTGTACAGATTCTGTATTTTTTCCTCAGCTGAGCTGCACCAAGTAACATACCAGAGACATCTGGATCCTGCAGTTAAGTCCATGGGGCACGATGGCAGTAGCATTCATGTCCACTGATCACAGGTGAAATTAAGACTTTCTGCTCTAAAATGCTGCTCATAATTAAATTTTTTAAAATGCCTGTTGAAGTCTGCTGTCCCAAGTGTCTACATCTTGCTGAATTGCTTTTAGTGCTCAGAAAAAATAGCCTTAGCCCGCCTCTGAGAAATGGAACCTCGTGTCTCCCCGTGCTCTGTGTTCTTCCTGCTATTCCCAGGCATAAGAGAGTTGCTGGGGACAGTCTGACAATTATTTGGAAGAGAAAAAGATGCAGAAAACACAGAACAAGGTGGAAACACGGTAGGGTGGAAACAACAGCAGAACAGAACAAAATCGACTTAAACAGAAAATATTGCTGAGGTTGGGGGCATTTAAATACAGAAATAATAATTAGAGAATAAGAAAAGAAGAATAAGAAAATAATTTCTAAGTTTACCTGTGAATAACATTATGAAAGACAAAACCTAACTTTCAGAAGACTAAGTATACCAAGGAAAGGCCAACAAACAGGCTTATGGAAGGAGCACACAGCCATTCAACTATTCAGCTATGTCTACATTTCTCAGAGCACCTAAGAAAGCAGCACTGACCAACCTTTGTCCTTAGCAGGTTTTGCCTTTGCCTACCTACACTGCACAACACAACCTACTCAGAATATCCATCATTTGCTTCACTGCCACTGAAAGTATTAAACCTCTTACTGATTGATGTGGAAACTGAAGAAAAGTTACCTTGGTACTCAAAAATAGTTTGTTCTTTATCAGAGCTGTGTCCTTGAATCTTGCTAGACCTCTGTGATATGTGCTTCAAGGAAAGATCAAAAAATCTATGGTAGTTATATAAAATATTCTATTAGGCAATCAGAAACAAGCATATTAGAAATGAAGGTGGATTTAAATATCTATTTAACTTGCACCATCTTATTAATATGCTGATGAAAATCAAGACAAGAAAGGTTTATAGTTTATCAAATCTACATCAGTTTTTCCTCAGGAGTCTATAACAAGAAACATTTTGTCCCCCTCCTGGCTTCCCAGGCCCTGAGTCAGCATGTGAAACTCACAACCACAGGCCAAACCTCCTCCCCTTCTCATACTTTCCTAAATTGTGGTTTCTTCCAGGTGCACTTAAATGTTCAAGTTGTTGTCACCATGGATGCAAAGGGCCAGGGTCTGCCAGTGACCTTTCCCAGGGCTCATCTAGAACCCACGTACTGGCTCGTCTCATGTTCTCTGTTTGATTTTGGTGGGGCTTTTTCCCCAAAAAATATCAATTAAAAAACCTCTGCCAGAAGAATGTTGAAAGCATTACATCAAGCACTCAAAAGCTAAGAAACTGAAATTTGACAAGAAACTTGAAACAAAGCTAACTTGTGCAAATTTAAAACAACCCTCTTCTGTCAATGTGCATAAAACTGGGCACTGCCTATTTGTTTTTCACAGGAATGGTGCACTCAAGGGTGCTCAATAAACAATGCAGCAGGTTTAATCCAGCATCTGTGGGCACTCCACCAAGGACAAAGGTGTTGAGGCATACATCAGAGGTTGAGGGGAGTGT